AGGGGTCTGTGGGGCGTGTCTGCCCTGCGGGGGCAGGGTCTGGGCCCTTCCACAGGGGTTTGTGTCACGGTGCTGGCTGCTGCCTCAGGCCCAGCACATTGGCCCTTTCAGACCCTGCCGCGGCCGGAGCCGTCCCTGGGTTGGGGTGAAGCCAGCTTTGCACGGACGCCAATACTCCCCAGGCCAGCTGGGCTGCCCACCCCCCAGCTGGGTAACACGCCTTCCTGCACTGGGAGTAACTGGGGAGTGTCTCTCGGGCAGGACTTGCAGCACCGGGATTGTCCACCTTGTGCCTCAGTTTCCCAGAGCCAGGCAGACACTTTGGGGCTGGGCATCTAACCCCCCCTTGCTAGACTAGGGGCACGGGCCAAGCTACAGCCCCTCCTGGCTGCTCAGGAAGAGGAGTCTGGGTCTCAGCAGGTGTTCCCGTGCCCCTCCCCAGCCACCGTTCTGGCCCCTCCTGGCAGGGGCGCTGCTGTTCACAGGAGGGGCTAACAGCGGCGGCTGTGGCAACACCTGTCCCCTGGGGGCCTGGGACATGGGGCCCAACAGCGGCAGTGACGCCAGCTGGACTCCCAGGGGCAGCAGCCGCAGGCAGCAAGCGCCAGGCGCCAGCCCCTGGGACTCATTTAGGGTGGCAGGAAGGAGGAAATGCGTCTTTTGTGCCCCGCTCAGCTGGAGCCACAGCTCCCCGGGGGCAGGGGCTGGCTGGGCGTGTGCGGTGGGTGTTTGTGTCTGAGCAGCGGGGGCGGGGGGGCAGAGCTGAGAGCCTCCAGCAGAGCTTTGGGGATCTCCCCGCTTCCTGCGGACAGCTTGGCAACAACCAGGGGTTCACCTGCCTCTGCAGGGTGGGGTGCAGGTGGGGTCTTTCCATCCAGCTTGGTGCCCGCCAGCGGTTCTGGGTGTGACGGGCGGGGGGCTCTGAGCACCCGCTGCAGAGCCTGGCTGTGGTGTGGGGGCCAGCCGTGTGTGCATGTGTGCTCTGCAGGGCCTGTGGCCCCCAGCTGGGCGCTCTGCGCCAGGAGAGGCCTGCCCAGGGGGGGCTATTTAGTGCCTGGTGCTGGTCTGGCCAGCCCTGGCTCTTTTGGCGGGGTCCCTCTGTACCAGCCCTGGGATGTGTGTTCCAGGGCCTGTTGAGGGCAGATTTGCAATGGGATGTGCACACCTGCGCCGTGTCAGCTCAGCCCGGGGAGGGGGCAGGGCCCAGCCCTTTGGCTGCAGCTGGGAAGGGTCTTGCACTTGCTGAGAAGACACCTGCCCTGCCACGCCCAGCAGCCTGCAACCCCCCCCCTACAGCAGCTTCACCATGGCCCCGGGGCCCCACCATGG